GAATGAAAAACTACAATTCTTAAAAAAATAGAAAATCTTGATGAGGAATAGGCTAAAAACAGGAACGGGCACAAGTTGTAAATATCTTTGATCTCGTCGCTGACACGTAGCAAATAAGCACCATTCTGAATGCATTAATAAGATTTATTATGGTTTTTATTCTTATTTTCCGCATACTGAAACGGATGATGTAAATTTGAATAAATTATTAGAGATAGTTTTAACGTACCTACATAAATATATATTACCAGTTTCCATTGGAAGAATTGCCTAAAGCCAGCATAAAGATATCAGAAAAGATACTGAAAATAGGGAAAACGAATATAATTCTCCAGATTTCCAGATATCGATTTTAATTTATCTTTCAGCCATTTCTTTAGAGCACATTCAGAATTTTAATTCCAAAAGTGATCCTGATGTTTATGTTACATGGTGAATAAAAGCGTCCCTATTAGTTATTTTGATGCTTTGAAGCTTCAAATATGTGTCATTCAAAGAGAGTTTACTGTAGTAAGTAACTGCCAAAAGACCGCCGGATGAAACCAAGTAACGCTTGGTCAGATTCGATCGCCAAATTTGAAAATGAAATGATTCCTTAGCGGTAGAAAAAGAGATTCCCGGTTTCTGGAACAGATTCCCTGATTTTCCATGTAAATTTTCATTCCCTGGTTTTCCCCGTTCTAAACATCATGCTTACACCAACTAATAGTTGGTGGATAAGAGAAACGCGGAGCTTGCAAGAGAAGCAGGTCGAAAGGTTCTGGATAACGCAATGACACTGCACTGCAGCTGATCAACACGCAAAAATAATGAGCGATATCGGAACGCGCGACGCGAACAAAAAATGGCTGAAACGAGGAGCACGCAAGAATGACCGAACATTGCTCTCGAGAGTAAACTTTAACTTGAAAATTAATGGAAATAGTTGATCAACACACAAAACGACTATAGGTCAAACGTGAGGCGAGCAAAAGGTCGGGCGAAACGAGGAGTTAGCACAAAACCTTGACCGATGAAAAATAGACAAAAGTTATGCTGATCAGGAACATAACGATACTATGTCACCACACATCTTATGAAATTTATCAGTTGTACTATTTGCTCCTACACCTCGCATCTCTCGAGTTTTATCTCTCCGAGTATGGAGCTCAGCCGTATCTAGGTTTCCGCTTTCTACCTACTACTATACCGCGATTCTCATAAACTGGAAGTCATAAATTAATAAATGTAAATATTTCTAATAGGAAATATTGTGCTTTTTATGAAAGCTCCAATGTCATTTTTCCGTAAGGTTGATTGTTTTTAAGATATAAGCGAAAAACCGGTCGTCAGTAGCGTATTTTGGCCCCCCAGGCCGCCTTTTCTCTAGGATGGTGGCCGCAGCGTACAGCCGATTCCGGTAAACTTTCGATATGTTGTTATTTGGCCGATTGCAACATGTTTCCTCAAAAAACTGTCTACGCAAGAAAAATTCTAGATTTACTGGACCATGCAGATTTAGCTCAAGATTGATCTTAGAAATGTGACATTTATCAACAATGAATATTTACAAACTATGTAAGTCCCTGCTCAGAGATTTCCCTTGAGTGATCCGCAGAATACACATGCCAAAATGCCCTTACTCAAAGGCAAGGCTATTAACTTAACTACCGAGAGCCATGACAGATGGATTAAAAGAAAGTTTTTAGGAAATTATGATCTCCCGGCCCTACCTGCCCAGAGCTCTCAATAAGCCCTTTCCTCACAAAAAAACACTTTTCAAGAAATTTAAGAGTGTTTTTAATTTAACTCATAGTATCCTACGTGTTTTGAAGGTGGACCAAAATTCACCTGAATGGACCTCTAGAAAAGGTACAAATTGAAGCAAAATTCTGGAAGTTATACCTCCTCAAAAGCTCACGGAGATCATGATTTATGCAACAAAAATAACTAACTTCATAACGATTTAACAACATTATTTTATTTAAAATATATACAACACATTTGAACTCCCCCCTTCCAGGAGAACAAAAGTCCTCTCGAATCAAATGCGGTTCACAAAGGTTACCTATAGCAAGCTTCTCAAGAAGCCGTGTTAATATATTAAAGGAGAAACAATTCAAATTTTCAAAGTGATCTTCGTTTTTTCTTTTCACATTGATCAATTTGAAACAGGGCCGGATTTACTAACTTGCCGTCCATGGGCCGCCTGCATTTTGCCGCCCCCTTATCATTCGTATTGAAACATCAATAAAAACTATTAAGTGAACGTGCCAAAGGGAGAGGGTTGCATCAGACGCGTTCATTCTTGTTGGACACATTATTTGCGAAAACCCTGTCAACACTACTAGCGAAAGTTCACAAAACTTTGCGCAAAATTTAAGTTCCGCATGCCTATCTCTGTGTGGACGAGGCCTTCCATTTGAAGAAATGAACGAAAAAATTATGAAAGAACAAACATAAATGTGATTTAATACTTTTAACTTCCGCCACTGCGCCGCGCTGACCGCAATGGGTTTAGGCGCAATTCGTAAAGTATTCCTACAGTCTTGTAGGTGCTTTGCGTTTCACGCCGACCGCTGTTGACCGCGCTGTGTTTGACGCAATGCGTAAAGTATTCATGCAGTCTTGTAGGCGCTGATATGTGTTACATGCCGACCGCCGCGCTGTGGGTTTCTCCTGTTCATCTCAAGTTCTCGTCATCATTGCTCTCTGCGCCGCGCCGTTTCAGGCCAAATTGCGTGTTTGGTTTCTCTCTTAACTCGACTAATCAAAGGTGCTTTCTCTTGTATCACCGAAAGATGACAAAATTAGAAATTACTACACTCTCAGGAAATGAGAGATTTTGTCACCTTTTCTCGTTTGTATTTTTTTTCTGAATCCGATTTTTTTTATACCTATATTTAAAAAAAATTGCAAAATTTGCCGCCCCCTAAATTTGCCGCCATGGGCCGCGGCCCATGTGGCCATCCCGTAGATCCGGCCCTGATTCGAAATGCGTACATTTTATTTTGAATTGTTTTGCAAATCATATATTTTACATTTGTGTAGGTACGCAGCGAGAGAGCGGTTAGGTCATTTTCAAACGAATTTCATAAAATTTTAATGCTTATGTTTCTAATTATTTCACGCATAAAATTTGTCGCTCCTTCACGAAGAGTGAAATGTGGATCATGAACTTGATTTTTGAAATGCACAAGCACATAATTTCAGGGAATGCAAGACGAGCGAATAAAGTTTATCCTGGTCATTTTGTGCAGCAAGTCGACGGCGTAAGTCCGCAACCACGTGTCTCGTTTGCGGTGTTTGCAAATCTCCGCCTCTATATTATTTTTTTAAATGAGAACAAATTAACACCATTCCTTCAAGTTTTTGCAGAATTTTCTGCGCATAGAGAGGAAAAAATCACGACAGTTTTGAAAAATTGCCGTTGAGTAGTTTTCTGCATAAAAAATAAAGTATGACAGGAAGTCTGCGACGTCGCAAACCGAGATACGTGGCTTCGGACTTACACCGTCGATATACTGCAGTAGCACATGCTAAAATAAGTTACACAGTAAAATAATTGCTACCACTTTAGAATATTGTGTATGCTGCCAGTCTCTTCATTGAATGAATTCCTCTGTTTCAAATAAAGATATTGCGATAAAATTGAAATAAGTTGATTTCTCCTCTCCGCTGGAAATTGCCTACACTGGAAAAAAAACACACTGAATCTTGAGTCCAGACTCTTAAAAACATCGACAAGAAAAAATACTCTTGATTCAATCAGATTTAAGCTTAATTCAAGAACCCAGCCTCTTCATTTGAGCGGATTTCCTTTCGATTTAAGCCTAAATCTGATTGAATCAAGAGTATTTTTTCTTGTCAATGTTTTCAAGAGTCTGGACTCTAGATCCAATGTGTTTTTTTCTAGTGTAGCTTTCGTTTGATCGTTTATTATTTTCAAATCGGCACTTATTGATCAAAATATGTAAATACATTGCAATTTTAGGGTAAAAAAAGATTTTATCGCAATTTCAATATTTTTCCTTAAAATACTTCTTGGATGGGTATGGCATTAAGGGCACTTCAACAACAACAATCGCGCGTCGCTGCTAATTGTGGTAAAAAAAGTTCAATATAAGCTCCTTCATAATTGTAAGTATGCAACACGGACAGCCGTCGAAGAGCATTGGCAGCATAACATCCAGGAGTTATTGTCAACGACACACGTGTGCGTCGCGTTGCGTTGGCCTCGGCCGAAAATATAACTCTGGCCTATATACAGATTAACTTGACACGCATTTAACACACACGCACGCGTGAGCACCCTCGCCCACCGTCTTATACAAGAGGTATAATACGAAGACAAAACTTTGAATTTTCCGAATGGGATTTCCAACAGATATCGTAACGAAAGTGCTCCCACGAAATGAGGTGGAGAGCGGGAAATAATCTTTAGGCGACGCACAGTGGATCGAGTCAATAAGCTAGGTCGGACAAAATTTGGAAACTTTAAACGCTCATAACTCTGTTTATACAAAACTTTGATGTCCTAAAAGTAGTTCCATTGGATTCCTCGTGGAATTTTCCTCTAGAAGCACCCCTTGAACTTTTAAATGTGACGAAATAAAAATAAAAATTTGCAGTTTTTGTCAAACATTTGGACGGAGTTAAACAGAAAGGAACCAAGCCACATCGGGATCGAACCGAGAAAAAGAGGTTTAAAGTTTGGCTCCTGCATAAGACTCAATGTAAAAGATAAACTTCAAGTTCAATTTCTGCAAAATTTGCNCGACCCCGAAACGGTTCGGCCGGAAAGCCCGGACACCGCAGTTATACCACACCCTCCTCACAGCCCCGACAGTGCTCCTCTCGAGTTTTCCTATATATACATTACAAAAAACGCCTCATAGATATTTGATTCTCGGATAGTGAGGCCAGAGAGGCTGCTTTGAAAGCTAGACTTGAAAAGTGAATAACACTTCCGAAAAACGTGTCCAACGTTGAGAACGCTGTATTGCGTCAGACGGTGGGTAACTTAAAAATTAATATTAAAGTCATTAGATTTTACTCTCGGTGAATTTTTACTTTTTGAAAATAATTTCTAAAAATTGACGAGCGTGCATTCCTTTCCGTTCAGCCTTGGTGGCCGATCGTTTTGAACCCGCTGAAACGTGAAGCTTCATTTTAAGTTATAAAAACTGTTGCGTACTATTGCGTCATCATCTAGTGTTTCATCTCTTTTTTTATCCGGAGTCGTCTGCATGAAATACAGTGGATTCCGTGGTTCAAAAAAAATCTCTTCTTATCTGAATGTATATCTTTCCTATACTTCAGTGCAGTCCGATCGACTGAAGAGTTTTAATTTGAAAGTTAAGTGCAATTGAAAATAAAGTCTTAATTGAAAGATTCTCACAGAGAGTGAATTGCAGTCCCGGAGCGGAACTTGAAACTTAAAAGTAGAGGCATGTTCTCATTGAAAATTTGGAAGAAGCAAAATTGACACTAAGGTCGCATGCTCACTGCTCCTTCGCCTTCAATTTTCTAGGCAGGCAAAAAACCCTCCTCCGGGCTAAAATCGGATGTTCGCAATCGGCAATGGCATTAACTCGAAGGTATCCTGGTTGAAAAATCCGTGTTTTATCGGCAATGGCATAAACTCGAAGGTGTCCTGATTGAAGAATCCAGGTTTTATCGGCGATGGCATAAACTCGAAGGAGTCCTGGTTGAAAAATCCGCGTTTTCAATGGACATGTCAAAGAAATAATAGCACGCTCCAAAACCACTTGGAGGAGGAGCGTTTCCCCTGCGAATAATCAGAGAGCGCCACCGGTTGGGCGGGGAGAGGAGGTGGCAAAATTGTCAAAACTGCCACTTATGCGATGATTTGACGGCTTCCTCATGCGTCACGCGGTAGACGCACTCAATGGAGTTACGTAATAGCCCCGGCGAGGCCTCCAGAATACGGTTTTCCACACACGCCAATGTTAAACAGCGACATGCGGCAATTCTGGATCGATGGACTGCGACACTAAAAAAATTACCCAGCCCTCCCCTCCCCCCCCCCGCTCCTCGCGTCGGTTCCTGCTCTGAAATTCGTCTTCGGCGAGCCGATGCGCGCGCGCGCCTCAGTCCGCTGAAACTGTTATTCGCAGCATTCGCGTTTCCTCGGCCGTACGTATTTTAAGTTTCGTGCACGCTCTGAGAGTAGGATTCTCCTTCAGTCCTCCTTATACACTAGATCGCTAAATTGCAGGAACCAGTGTAGTGTGAACAAGTGTTATCGGCTTTAAAATAACGGCAACTTAATTTTTTAAGGTAAGAGGATGAAGTTTCGGTCAAGTTGACCTTGCGAATGAAACCGACCTTCACGCCTTATTCCCCTGCTGTCTTGGTGTGTTTTAGCTTTTTTTAAATGGCAAAGGTAGTTTTGTATCTTGCGGACTACTTGCCCACGTCGTGTACAATTGTTTACACGTCTATTTATGTGCACAGTGTATTCTAAGCATGTATACATCGTTGCATTTGCGACCTCTACGACTGCTCTGAAAATACTACAACGACCGTCAAAAAGCACTTTTCAAAACCTCTTATAAAACTGTGAAAATTATGTTTTTGGAAAAAAAGGTCATAATTAAAATATGTCCGGTGAAATTCGCGCTAGATAAAAAAAAAAGTTTGCTCGAAAGTTGTTTGACGTTTTTTCCCCACGAACATTTTAAGTGTGGAAAAAGAGCAGTCAGATCTTTTAAGGGTTTTCATTGCTGTTTCTTTATTCAAATTGAGGGGCTTAGAAGACAAGGCGCATATGTGCAGTTTTTACTACTTCGGAAAAAACGAGTTTAAAGTTCTGGATTTCACTCGGACCAACAGAGTGCTCCGTATGTCTTCAAAATTTACAAGTGCTTGTCTCACACCTTCATGAACGTCTTCTGAAATTTTCAGCGCAGTTGTGCCAAATTGAGGCCAGCAGTCGGGTTTAAAGTGACGGTAGGTCGCACTCGTCCCTCTAAACGAAAAATGCACTTATCCCTTTCGCAGTTTTCGAAATCGTCCGGATTTTTGTTTCCCCTGCGCCTTTCCTTCCTGTTTTTATCTACTGTGCTTTCAGTGAGGTCCAGCCGTTTTCTTGTAACTCACCTGTTGAAATATAAGCATAACTAGATATGGCACGCAGCTGAGGCGGCTAGCTGGGGTCTAATCTCTAGTCTCGAACTTCTAAAACTGTACTTATGCGCCTTGTCTTCCAAGCTCCTCAATTGTACCTCTCGTAAATATATACTTACACAAATATCCAAACAGGATTTCCTGAAACATAAGTATTAGCAGTTCCTTAAGAATTGTCTCCTCACTATTGGGGTTCCAATTACGAGAGATGTATCGAATTGAAACATTTTTGGAGGGTCTCTCTGCTGAATTTTCATGGTACGGTACATACATATCAAGCCGCTACCTCAGCGCACTAGAGCGCTCTGCGACTCCAAATCGCCATCGGGATCGATCCTCCCACAAATCATCGGGCAGATGGTCGGGGTCATGGTACGATGAAATATTAAATATTGTGAGTAGAGAGAAAAGGTTTAATTTTCTTTGAATCGTGACGAGGTAGCGAGGTCCTCTGCAGTACTACTCCGATTTTTTTGCTTTGCGGCGAAATCGTCTCGCCTGCTTCGAGAAAAGAGGAATTTGCTGACAAGAAAAATGACACTGCACTGTGCGACGATGCCACACGAATTACTTACATTCTCACTCGATGGAAATGGCTACGTTTGCATCATATTACAGTAAAGCACAGGCTATCCGCGCATTAATGTCCGTTTATTGGGCGCTCCGGCACCGGCGCAACGTTGAGCGACCGCCACGCCGCGCCGTCACGGTCTTTGCACCACGTTCTGCAATAGGTAATGGAACTGCTACTCCTGGCTCATTCTAGAAAAGACTTATTTAACAGTAGCTGCTTTAGATAGCTTTGCGCGCCTCCGCACCTAGCCGCTTCGCGAGTGCACGGATAGCTTTCAAAAGTGGTACTTGAAAGTTTCGGATTTTTGGTATCATCTGGACACCAACAGCCTCAGTTTGTAACAAAAATCAAGGGAACCGGCCCGGCGGTCCCTCAGAATTAAGGATCACAAGGTTTCGATCCTTACAGATTTATTTATATAGATTAGTTCCCTTTCACAAATATATAAGTGCCTTTAAGAATGACATAGAGGAGCGTTCATAAATTACATGAAGTTCCATAAGGGAGGGGGTCCTGCGTTACGCTGCGTTACAAGAGAGAGGAGGAGGGGTTTAGTATCAGCGTTACGTCACCCTCTCTATTGGTAGAAACACACACAAAACCCAACATGTATAATCCTCATTTCTTCGACGTTAATTGTCACACTACATTGAAAATACGACCTCAAATATTTAGCCACATATTCAACAGTTTCCGACAATTTTTGGGACCTCAAGGGGGAGAGGTCCGTTAAGCATTACGTAGCATTAAGAGGGCGTTAAGGGGGCATTAAGGGGGTCCAGGGTTGCGTTACAAAGGGGAGGAAGTCAACAATGCCGAAAAATTGCGTTTTGTAATTTATGAACGCTCCTAAACAGTAGCTCCTTCCTGGTTGCAAAAATTAATCCATTTTAAAAGTGACAACGACCCCGTGATAAATAAATCACTCTGTTTTACTGAGAGGATTGCGCGGGTATGAGAAAATGATGCAGACACAGCCACGCGACTTGAATGAACGATGATCAACTGCGAGAAGTGTACTGATGACGAAAGTATAGAAATTATGAAATCTGGCGAAGCAATGAAATGAGATGTGAGCTCCATCTAGTAACATTTTCCAAGGTGATGACTTCGGTGCGATGTCAGCTGCTCTCCCATATGCATCAGCGAGTAGGTAGAGGGAGCATCTGTACTCTATGGTAGGTAGGGTGAAGTCTCTGTTGTCGATATGATAAACTCAGATTCTGGCGCTTAACCTTGCAACTGACAATGTAGGTAAAAAAAACCGCGTGGACTGGGAAACAAAGGTTACCGATTTTTCCCGTTAAGAGGGTGAGTTTTTTACGGCTTCTTCTCTCTCTAATCGAGACCTTATTTTTGGTTATTTCCGTGTGCGGCGCGAATTGCCATAGCTACACCATACCAGATAGTCTGTGTTTTACTGTGCGGAAAGTACCCTGGTAAAAATTGGCGATAGGAGCTGCGTTTCAAAATACCATAGGAGTTCTTATAGCCGACTGAAGAGGGCGATAGAAAATCATATAGCTGGCTGTAGAAAGTGGAAAAAATCATACGGCCGGGCTACACGAAGCGATAAAAAATTATACAGCCGGGCTATAGTTCCTATCGCCGGGCTTTACACTTTATCGCCTGGCTGTTGCTTTTTCGCCATCGGCTATAAAAGGCTATAAGAAATTGTGTAGAAATTCTTGTGCTTTATAAATCCTTAAATTTGCACGGAATCACCTTAATATTTACAAAACGCACATTATATTTTCCCTCACTACATACGTTTTTTCATCAATTAAAATGAGAATAGTCCATACAGAGTGTGCAGACATTTCAAAATCATGAGTTGAAAAACGCTGACTCCGCGAGATTAAATATTAGACCCTAACACAAAGCGGAGCGGCGACGCACTGGCGCCTACAAACCTAACTGGGATACTTCACGCATTGCGCAATGCGTGAAGTATCCCTGTTAGGTTTGTAGGCGCCAGTGCGCGTTCAGCGCTGGCTGCCCGCCCGCCGCAGCGTACCGCGGCGCTTGAAGCAACTATTTCACACCGGAGGTATTGCACAGTATCATACGAAATTGAAGGCGGGCAGCATATTATGAATAGCAGGCATCCTTCAAAAGTTCGCAAATTAAATCAAGATACTGCGGCCCAAAAAGAGAGCGGTAGTCCAAAAACTCACCAAGTCCTAGCATCCGTAATTAGTAACGTTTAGCATACACTTCATCGCCAGGCTGTTGCTTAATCGCCATCGGCTATAAAAGGCTATAAGAAATTGTACAGCCGGCTATAAAAGCTATTGGAAATCTTACAGCCGGCTGTAGGTCTGTGGTATTTTGGAACACAGAATCTACTGCCAATTTTTACCAGGGTAGAAAACTTTAAAGACTAGTACCTACGTAAAAACTTTCAGTTTCTCTGTTTATTCGTCATAATGTGCATTATTGTGCATGAAACCAACACTAATATTTTATGACGTGCTCACCTGATGCTCTGCTGGACATTCCTACAATATTGCGTACATAGCACCCTATATACCTATTACCTCCTTGCGTTTGTTGCAGGTTTCTTGGAAAAGCAGCTGTCAAAAATGAATAAAGTAGCATTGTTCGTGTCCGTAGTTCTTGTGGGAGCTGGCGGATTTTTTGCAAAGGAGGTCGCTTGGCAGGTCAACACTCCAGGTCACATCGGCGATACACCTGCATATAGGAAAGCGATTGGCGATACTGCTGCTTCGAATGGAAAGAAATAAGCACTTCATAAATATCCAAACAAATACCTACCTACATAAGTACCTCATGAGTGTAGCTAGGGGGGAGCTGTGATTCTTTTCTCGTTATCTCAATAGGTACACCGAAAAAATGAAATTGCTGATTCATCAATTTTGTAGTTAAAAAAACTGACGGACGTGTTTCAATGTAGATTTTACGATGAACAAATGCTGATTTAACTACGCCCGTGGTTGAATTAGCTTTCCACTATTATAAAATGTACATTTGAAACATGTCTGTCATTTTTTTAACAACAAAATTGTTAAATCAGCAATCAATTTGTTTCCGTGTATACTTTTAGATTGTCGTGAATAGTGAATGAGATCTTGCTCCCCTCCCCTCCCCCTCCCCCGAAAAAAAAAATTCAGCAATGGCAACAACAATCTATGAGAAATGGCAATGTGTAGATGAGGATGGCTCTGCTTACGCAATTAGTAATGTACGTTGCATTAATTATGCTAATGGCAGTTTAAAATAGGACATACTGCTTCAAAAGCTGCCCAACTCTTTTGCAATGCCGGATTTCTGACATTTTAAACTGGTGCGAGATTGATCTAGACGCCTCATGAAGGATGAGGAAGAGGGGCTTCTTCAGGACATCCTAAAGCTAAAAGAAGATCCAGAAGAGGACCTCTAGATATGTTTATAAATTTCGAGTCTCTCATAGGTATGAAATTGTTTAAGTTTAGAATTTATCTTTATTTTGTTATAGTCATTGTTTATGTTTATGTTTATGTAAAGTTTATTTTCAGTATTTTTCGTCCTTTTGTCAACTTAGGTAAAATCTCCCTTAATTTATCTTTGGTGATTCCTTTCTAAACACATGTTTATATTTTAATGGCCGCATATGATCAACATTAAAATAATTATCACTTGGATTCTCAGAGTAATAATTATTATACTTTTTACCCATGAAAGAAGATTAAACCCGGTAGATCATTAGAAATAAATCGATCTAGGCTGGGACAAGATAATAAGAGCGAAGAAAACAACTAGGTACCGATTCAAAATTTAAAAATGTGTTCATGAGAGGAGAAATACTTTCCAGATACCGAGTTTTCAGGTTTGAGTAAAAAGAATTTAGGATTGGATTTCAAAACAAACCTCACGATGCCAGAGGAAAGCTTAACTTAAGCTGCTGAAAGCTAAATGCGAGGTAAAGTACTTAATTTATGTAAGTGCGTGTGTGCTTTGAGCGTGGCATAAAAATTAGCAAATACCTATTGTAACATAAAAAGTTACAAATTACGAAAACAGCTTCGTTAAACATGAGATTTAAGAAAAATATTTACCTACATGAAAAGAGAAAAAAAGAACGGAAAATGATTCATAATTTTTTTAAGTTGACAATAATTGTATCGCAATCAGCAAAAAGGAACCAGCGTGATAACAGTGTTGTAAAAATGTTCTGCTTCTTCATGACTGTCTAAAAAATCTCCCAGAATAGCAAATAGCTTTTAATTGGCTTTCCACCAAAAAATTGTTAATTTTAAAGGAAAACAATTGTGTCCATTTTAATGCTGTGCTTAGTTACCTATATTAAGTATTTATAAAATAAAAGGAAAAGTTGCACGATTCTGAAAACACTGTAAACGCACTGGTTCGCCTTTTTGCTAAATGCCATCCAATTTTAGTACTTACGAATGATTTCCTAGGAATTAAACCACATGGGTTTTAATATTGGAAAATATGGGAATATTATTATTCTTTCATTACAGCAGCAGTACCTAATCCGACTGCAATTTTCTAAGAAAATGCTGATAAGAATGAAAATCTTACAGTCCCGTTAAATCAAAGCATTTAAAGGTTTAGGAACGAGATAAACGCATCCTCATGATAATACGTAAGTAACTATTAGCACTCCCAAGTTACGTTTGTTGTCTACACGGCGAAATTGCAGGCGAACCTGAAACTGTACTTAGGTACGATTGGGGGTACAATAAAGTTTGCGCATTTTTTATTGGCTCCTGTTAAAGTGTTAATAATAAATAAACACTCTTCAAGGCTAGATAGAGTCATTTATTTGAATAGAATAGAGCGTAGGGTTGAGTCCACATCTGATTATGTGACTACGAAGCGAAGAGGAAATAAAACGCTTACAATCTAAGATTAATATCATCTTCGATAAATGGTCTTGTCAGACCATACTTATATCCCCTGGTATAAATTGGCAGTAGAATCTGTGTTCCAAAATACCATAGACCTAAAGCCGGCTGTAAGATTTCCAATAGTTTCTGTAGCCGGCTGTACAATTTCTTATAGCCTTTTATAGCCGATGGCGATTAAGCAACAGCCAGAAGATAAAGTTTATACTAAACGTTACTAAATACGGATACCAGGACTTAGTTAGTTTTTGGACTACCGCTCTCTTTTTGTGCCGTAGGATCTTGATTTATTTTGCGTGGAAAGCTCCGTACTTTTAGAGGATGCCTGTCATTCTTAATATGTTGGAGCGCTTTCAATTCCTTATGATACTGTGCAATACCTCCGGTGTGAAATAGTTGCTTCAAGCGCCACGGTACGCTGCGGCGGGCGGGCAGCCAGCGCTGAACGCGAATTGGCGCCTACAAACCTAACAGGGATACTTCACGCATTGCGCAATGCGTGAAGTATCCCAGTTAGGTTTGTAGGCGCCAGTGCGTCGCCGCTCCGCTTTGTGTTAGGCTCTAATATTTAATCTCGCGGAGTCAGCGTTTTTCAACTCATGATTTTGAAATGTCTGCACACTCTGTATGGACTATTCTCATTTTAATTGATGAAAAAAAAATACGTATAAAGGAAAATATAATGTGTGTTTTGTAAATATTAAGGTGGTTCCGTATCAAACTTAATGATTTCCAAAGCACACGGATTTCTACACAATTTCTTATAGCCTTTTATAATCGATGGCGATAAAGTGGCTGCATAATTTTTTATCGCTTCGTATAGCCCGGCCGTATGATTTTCTCCGCATTCTACAGCCAGCTATATGATTTTCTATAGCCTTCTTTAGCCGGCTATAAGAATTCCTGTGGTATTTTGAAACGCAGCTCTTATCGCCAATTTTTACCAGGGTCCCAACAGCTCCATCCAAGTTTAGGGAGTGAGGTGTATGTATCATTTTCGATAACTAGAGCCCGTTTCAGATAATTTCAGATAAATGTGCATTTTTCGTTGCATGCGCGGGATGAGAAATATTCCGCGAATGCTGCGAAAAAGGCAAAAATCGGGGGCTCTATTCGCGCTCCCCGGTGTGTTTGTGGCCTATATGTCGAAATTGAAGGCGAACCTCACGTTGACGGTACCTGCAAATAGGTTTAGGTTTACACATTATTCGCAGTTTTTGTACTCACTCGAAGAATCCTCCAATTTTTGGATCTTTTCTTGATTTTCTCACGAATGCTTTCTTTCCGTCATCTTAAGAGGCAACTAGATAACTAATGCAGTGTGACCTACAACTTTGGGGTTATTTCAAACTCCGAGTTATTTTAATCTCTTCCATCCTTTTTTTTGCTCTCTTTATCCTAATTCCTCTTTCTCCTTTTTATTTTTGCCCTCTTGATCTTCCTTGTTTTCCTCTTCATTTCGTTTTCCCTTTCAAATTAGCACCCTTGTTGTGTTGTGATAGCGCATGATGCAGCCGCTCTTGATGCACCATTATTGGCCCTGCCGTGTTGCAACATTTCAGGTTTGCTTCTTACATTTTGATTTTTGTGAAGAATATTAGCCACAATGTTTAATAGCAAAAATCTAGAAATTCATATTCTATCCTTTAGAGAGAATACCAGGATCTCATTCAACGAATCTCATTATTAGGAAGTTTTTCTTGTACTTAATGAAGGAAATGTATTTAAGACAGGACTGAGACGATGCAACATGAAGTTAGACAGTTTCCAAAGCAAGCCGAGCAAGCCTTTCAATTAATTAATTACTCAAATAAAAATTGATTCTCACTGGAGAGGGAGCGTATTGTTCTAGCATGCCTCTCGGAGTAAATCTACTGGGTGACTGTGTGTCGTCAGGCCCGCCACAAGGGAGGGGGGATACTGGGTCCCTGGTACCGGGGCCCGGGCCCCGGAGGGGGCCCGTGTTACCCGTGAAAAACCACTACGAATTCCGAATTCACATGCAACCCTTGTTTCGTAATAAAAATTTATCCTAAAAATTTCGCAAAAGGTGAATAGATTTTCAGAAACACGCTGGGGCACTGTAGAATTCTTCTTAAATTTTCAAAGAAGTATACTTCTTGGAAAATTTCTATCTATTTTCAAGATGTTCAGTACAGAGGGATATTTTTAGTAACTGCGTTTCATTTTCTTCCGTCGTCAGATGCTAAGAGTCTCCAGTCTGGGCATCCTCGACTTCAATGGCTCATGGCTCAACTCCCTTGCCATAGACAAACGAAGGGGGAGTCCAGGGGGGCCTGGCCCTCATAGAACTGAAAATAGTATCATATGC